GAAGACCTTGACCAAGAACCAGAAGCGTCAACTTGAAGAAGAACTCAATGAACTTGGTGAACAAGACCAGGCAATGTGGTCTCAACTCCAGTCCACACCACGACGTGGACGCCGCTCTGGTGTCTGCCTTCCACGTGGCTGCAAGGTCTTCCTCCTCGAGATCTTTGCTGGAGCAGCCCTGTTGAGCTCTATCGCTGCCAATCAAGGACTACCAGTTGCAGCACCAGTGGACATCACACTGGATGGCAGTGATCTTTTGAAGGCTTCTGTGCGCCAAGAGCTGGACCATGAGATTGACCGCCTTGACCCCTATGTCATCACCTTCAGCCCAGTCTGTGGACCCTGGGGACCGTGGTCAAAGCTCAACATGTCAAAGAATGAGGTCACCAGAGAGAAGATTCTCCGAGATCGAGACAGCTGGTTTCCTTTCACCAAATGGCTTCGAGGCTTAGTTCGTCGACGGCTAGCCAAAGGCCGCAAGGTGCTGATTGAAAATCCCTGGACAAGTGAATTCTGGGATAGCTTTCACATGAAGAAGTTGATGGAAGAGCACCTCTATGATAGCGAAAGCCTCCAGCAGCTTGAACTTGTGCGATGTGATCAATGCATGTTTGGCCTCCGCGACCACTTCAATGGCGAGCTGCACTACAAGCCCACCGGATTCCTGACGGCCAGTCAAGAAGTCAAGGAATACCTCAATGTCGCTGTGATCGAAGTCACCAACACCAACACCTTGAAGGCGGACAACGCACCAAACGTGCGCAAGAATGGCCAACTCAGCTCTGCCAAGCTATGCTTGATGGCTTCATCGCTGAACTGGAGCATCGCAACCTCAGCGCAGCCTTCCACCTGGAAAGTGTTGATGAAGGTCGAATGGAAGAAGATTTGCATCTTGGAGTTTTGGACACCATCCAAGATGAACGTGATCTAGCACCTCAACAAGATCTACTACCAGATCACCTGAGTCCTGATGAACTCCAACGTCAAGAGCAACTTGAAGAGTCACCCCTGGCAGCTGACCAGGAGATGGAACTTGAACGTGATCGACGTCACAAGTGGCTCAAACTACCTCGACCGACCAGGCTGGCACTTCGAAGACTGCACACTATGACCGGACATAGTTCACCGGCAAGTATGGTTCAACTGCTCCGTACTGCCAACGCAGCCCCGGCAGTGATTGAAGGATGTCGATCCTTTGCTTGTGAAGCTTGTCGCAAACGACAACCCTTGGAGCGACCCAATGTCACCAAGATGCCCAACCGCTACACCTTCAACCATGAGGTGAGTTTGGACTGCCTTGAGATCAAGGACAAGGCTGGCAACAGGCACACCATCCTCTCAGCGGTTGACATCGGCACCCTCTACCATCAATGCTGGTGGGTTGCAGGAGGTGGAGTTCCGAAGAGCAGTGTATGCGCCGAAGCCTTCATCCATGGCTGGATTGCACCATTTGGACAGGGCATGCACAACCAGGGCAGAATGCGAGACATGCTTCGCATCCATGGCATCTCCATCCGCTACACCGGGTTGGAAGCTCCATACCAACTTGGAAGAGGAGAACGCCAAGGAGGCATCTTCAAAGAACTGATGTATGCGGCTATGGAGGAGCGCAATATCATTGGCACCAACAACATCAAAACCCTCATCTCCGAGACGTGTGGAGTGAAGAACACGAGGGTGAACCATCAAGGCTTCACACCATACCAATGGGTGCTTGGCAAACTGCCTGTTGATGAGACCTCCCTGACAAGTGAAGAAGCAGAAGGGCGATTCATCTCCGTCCAGGAAGAAGTTGAAGAGTCCGAAGACACCTTTGCCCTTCGCCTCCAAATCAGGCAGGCAGCCAAGATGGCCTTTAGCAAGGTCGACTCCAGCAGAAGGATCAGGTCAGCCCTTTTGAGGAAGAGCACTCCCATTTGCACCAACTACGTTCCTGGCAACCTCGTGTGCTTTCACCGACGAGGAAGATGGTGCGGCCCGGCCAGAGTAATTGGCCGTGAAGGCAGGGCAACTCTATGGCTGATCCATGCAGGAGTACCAGTAGTTGCTTCTGAATCCTCATTGCGCCCAGCTTCCAGCACCGAGATCTACACGAAAAGACTTTTGGAACTACGTCCATCAAGGAAGCGCATGAGGGAAGCAGTTCAAGAAGAAGAGCGTGGCCGTGAACACATCCCCTTCTCTGATGACTACAGGCATCGCAACTGGGGAGAAGGCCAACCAGGATACATCGAAGTTCCTGGAGGACAAGGGCCACCTGAAGAAGAAGAAACACCCCAAGAGGAGTACACACCTTCTGAGCCACCAGATCACATGCCTGTGATCCCTGAAGAAGAGGAAACTCCTCAGCTACAAGCAGACACACCTCCGCTACCACAAGCAGAACAAGCAATGCCTGACCGGCAGGTCACAGAACCCGAGACCGAGATGATCCCATTGACTGTGCCCAATACACCAGTACAAACAGCAGCAGCAGCACCAACACAGCTACAGCAAGCAATGTATCGAAACCTCGATACTCTTGATGGTCATCCACCAACCATCAGGCCACCACCAGGCCTTTCCAGACGGGAGCGATCGCGCTCACCTGTCCGAGAAGCCCAAAACGTGCCAGCACCAAGAAGCTCAGAAGAAGGCCTCTTTGCACTCGGCCACATGAAACAAGAAGAAGAGTGGCACCTCCACTGTATGTTGGCCAAGCGCTTCAACAAGAAGAAGCGACAAGTGGGTGCAGGAGCTGAGGTCAACTATGACAAGGCAAGTCCTGAAGTGAAGAAAGCCTTGGACAGCACCCGTGGCAAAGAATGGAACAATTGGAAGCAGTTTGATGCTGTCTTTGTCATCCCTCCTGACGAGAAGGAGAAGTTCCTGGCCGACCATCCTGAGGCCGTGATTCTGCCGACCCGTTGGGTCGATGTGAACAAGGCAGAACAACATGAAGAACCTCGCTGGAAAAGCAGACTAGTTGTGCGAGGTGATTTGGAGAAGAACAACGACCTCCGCACTGATTCGCCCACGACTTCACAGCTGATCCTCCAGATGATCATCAGCTTAGCGGCATCCACAGGCACAAGACTCCGAGCTGGAGACATCAGTGCCGCCTTCCTCCAAGGCACTGGCATCACACGTGTCCTGGCCATGTCGCTGCCCAAGGGAGGCATTCCAGACCCAGATGTCCAACCTGGAAGTCTGTTGATCGCCAGGAAGAGCGTCTACGGCACCAGAGATGCTCCATGAGGATTTTGGAAAGCTCTCCATGACACCCTGCTCCGCAATGGTCTGAAGCCCATTTCCCTTGAGACCTCTGCCTACTACCTGCCCGGCGAACAAGGACAAGTTGCAGGGCTCCTAGGCTGTCTGTCATGTTGATGATTTGCTGTGGGCCGGATCAGAGGCCATGCAAAAGGCGATGGAAGCAGTCCAAGCTGAGTTTAAGTTTGGCCTCGTGGAGAGTGATGAGTTGAAGTACTGCGGACGCATCATCCACCAGGGGAAAGACGGCATCACCATCACATGCCCCAGCGTCCTGGATCGGACCAAGCCGATCTTCCTCAACCCACAGAGGCGCAAGCAGCTTGGAGAGATGGCAACACCGGCTGAGATCAGCCAGCTGAGGTCAGTTGTGGGCAGCTTAAGTTGGCTTGCTCGAGTTTGCCGACCAGACCTGAGTTTCCAGGTCAACCAACTTCAGGCCCGACAACAAGCAGCTCGAGTCAAGCATCTCATCGATGCCAACAAGCTCCTACATCATGCACTACAAGATCGTGACAAAGGCATTTTCTATGCCAAGGGAGCTATGAAGTTTGAGACTGCCATCATCCTCAGCATCAACGATGCATCACACGCGGCAAGCGTGGAAGCCATTGGAGATGGAGTTGTAGCCGGACACCGGTCCCAGTCTGGACGCCTGCTAGCTTTGGCAGACCCTTCCTTCGCCACCACTGGAAAGGGCTCCATCTACCTCCTCGAATGGCATTCAAATACCATCCGCCGTGTTTGCAGGAGCACCCTCCAGGCCGAGACAATGAGTCTCCAATTGGGCTCTGAAGAGTCAGAACATGTGCGGCAGATCATGTATGAAGTCAAGAATGAAGCCGCAGAGACGCCCAAGGCCGACCGCTACACGAAGGCGATGGACTCTACCACAAGCATGTGGCTCACCGACTGCCGCAGCTTGAGTGATCACCTGACCAACTGTTCAGGTGGAGAGGTCAGCGACAAGCGCCTGGCGATTGATCTTACCAGTCTCCGCCAAGATGTGTGGAGGCGAGCTGGAGAGCCGGTTGGAAACCCCACCTACACCGACTCACTGCCTGCTGACGCCAGCACCGTGGTTCGCTGGATCTCGACCAAAACGATGGTCGCTGACGGCTTGACGAAAGCCATGAGAGCTGAACAACTGGACGCCCTGATGAAGACGGGACAGCTCTCGGTAGAGTTCCAGAACCCCAGTGTCACACCTGTAAAACAGTACGGGTGTGAAAGTGAGGGTCCTTTCATGACCAGTTCATGATTTTCCATGTCCAAGCATGCACGCCTTTTCCCATCGTCATGCTCCAGCCAGTTGTGACACTTGAACCCGCCATGAATCCATGGCTCAAGACTCGCATCCGCGTGCCAAAAGGTGCGCGTTCCTCCGGGCCGTTGTCAGTTTCATACAACACTGCGGCGGTCATCAGGCTTTTGCCACTTGACGTTAGGATCAGCGCTCCGAAGTTCACGAACTGCTGCGCCTGCGACGACATCTGCATTTCCAGCCCTCCCGGCACCAAATAATAGTGTGTCATAATGCCACAACAAAAATCAACAAAGCACCATTCCAGCGATGGCGGGTCGGCTGGAACCGTCCCAAGTCCTAGCCTCAGCCGTACCAAGTTCCAACGCCAGAGACGTTGTGTGAGTGCTATAGTACCATTAGTTCGGGTTGCGTTTGCTTACGCAGTTTACGCACGAGGTTTTCAAGAATTTGAGTGACATTGTTGCGATCCATTTGAACCCAGGTTCAGATCGCGGCATGTTTAGCGAGTGGCCAGATGCTTTTTGGCGCCTTGTTGGACGGAGATGCGGTGGGATGTGATGCTTTGTCACAACCACAATTGCTGAGGTGCCACCGCAGTGGTGGGCCGTGTTGGGTGTGAACCTGAGGACATGCAGCATGCAAGGGCGAGGGCATGTCGTCCAGATCATTGGCACCGGTTACGTCAAACTGTGACACGGATGTGTCCCGCAGTATGTAAGTCACTGGTCTTGGCAATGTACCCCGTAAAACATTGATTTCCCGCAACTATTTGGCTCAGCTGAACTGAACTTGTGTTCAGTGGCGCCCAGGCCAGACAGATAAACTCACGTTCTGAGCTTGCAAGTGCGCTTGTGGTTTTGCCTCTCAGGATGGCTCAAAGCATCCTGGAGCTCCAGAAAAAATGCTGTGTAGCTTGTCCGGGAGTTAGGAATGCCAGATTAGATATGCATGGTCCTGCATGATTTGTCCATTTTGGCGTGGATGCAAGCGTCCCGAACCTGGAAACCAGCTCCATCATGGTGCGACAATGCCCGTTAGAAACTCAAGAAAGCAAACCAAGACTCCACAATTCCAACGAGCCAAGTGCCAATGAACATCCTCAGCAAAAACCTTTACCCAAAAACAACGCGTGATGGTTCCGTAGGCATGTCAATTGGCATTGGTGGCCAGCCTGCCGGTCTGGTTACTAGAGGCTCCGCATGCTGAACCTTGGAGATGCTGGTGACCAAGCACTCACCACAGCTTCAACCTGGAAAGTCTTAGTCTATGACAAGTTCTGCCAGGAGTGACCATCACCTGAGACCGTGTGCACAGTTGCAATTGAGGTATTCGTGTTTTTCTCTCTGTGGAGTGCTAGGAGGTGGTGTCCTTGCTGCTCAAAGTCGGAGGGCTGCGAAACCATGGCGTCGCATGGCAGCATGTTTTAGCAACACTTTTGCTCGCGAGTCGTGAGAAGTGCAGCTCAGGGTCTCCACTTTAAGCGGATTGCCTGCGGTTCACCTGCGCCTTTTCCAACAGCTTCAAAAGCTTCAGTGATTGCAAAGGTGACCCTGCATTTGAACATCAACAGCGAAAGACTGCCTGTTGCAGATGTTCCTGCAGAGCCTTGGACGAAGTCGTTGAATGTTGGCATGCCGCATGCATGTCCATGCTTGGTCAAGTTGGTGTCGCTGTAGGTGTACTTTGTGGAGCCCACGGAGCAGAACATCAGCAGAATTGTGGAGGATTTGTCCAAAAATCTTTATGAAAGCTGCTATGTGCCAGTCTGAGCGTGAAGACCACCTCATGACAAACCTCCTTTTGCTGCAAATGAGGTTAATTTTGCCAGTGCAGTTCCCAGGCAGAACCTGCCAGATATTCCTTATGACGGTGCTGTTGTTGATGCACCAACGCAGGCCGCTACTAGAAGATTTGGCAAAAAATGCCTTTGAAACTGGTGGCGCGCAGAAGGCATGGGTCGTTTCGTCGTTTGTTGGAAGTGCTTGACCTCACACGCTCAGGTGGCTGGGGTCTTCGATAGATACATCTCATTTGTATCCTTGTCGCCCTCGCTTTTCTCCTTGAACTTGCCAGCAGCATCTCAGCTCTAAGAGCGTCCTGTGAGGGGAACGCTACTAGGGGCTCCTGGCACCGCTACTAGGAGCAAGGATGCTACTAGGGGCTCCTGGCCTTACTACTAGGAGCAAGAAACTACTAGTAACAAGGTGCCGCGCTGCTTGAACTGTAAGGCCTACATGACTCTCCACAGCACTCAGCTAGAAGAACGAGTGATGCGGCAGCAGCTCAGATGCAAAGCACATGGCAACCCATGCCGAATTCTTGCCGTTCCAACAAAGCTTGAAGGTACATAGAGCGGATCGTTGACGGCTTGCTCTCCATAGTGGCCACCATGAGGGTTCTGCCTGTCATTCGGTGCCCACCGGGTGATGCAGCTGAGATGATTGCCGTGCGACTCGAGGATGTCAACCCTCAATCCGCTCACGGCAGTTAAACCACATTCCTTCCTGATAAACCGACAGTCTCATCACCGCCATCCCCCATGCTCATGCACCCCCATTTGCCGCTCCGTGCCACACACCACCAGGAGCGGATCCGTGAGCTGCTGAACCGCAGTGGCGGTGTCGCCTCGGAGCTCTTCGCCGCAGGGGGGCGCGCCGGTGCGGAGGTGCCGGGCGCTGCCAGCCGCAGCTCGACCGGGCGGAGCGGAGCGGCGGAGCCGGTTTGGGGATGGGGATGGCCAAGACATGCCATGACTTGTGTGGTTCAGTAGGCCATGTGGGCCGCCTTGGGTCCATGATGCGTTGTTGTGCCTTTTCGGCAGCTGTTTGGGGGAGCTTTTGGGAGCTCTTTGGAACATGTTGACTATCGGAGCCTTCATCGAACTCTTCCATCAAGGACCGCTCCTAATCATCCTGGATCGAGACATCGCCCCGAGCTCAACATCATCGGTTCGTGTGTCAGCGCTTTGGTGCATCGTGTCAGCTGTGCCGAGGATCTGGTGACGATGTTAAGCCACACATGGACTTACCAGGCGCTGTAGACTGGGTGGGTAGACTGGGGTGCTATTGTTTGCGAAACGTGCACCTTTTGTGGCTTGTGTTGCGCACATTGCATGGGCATCACCATCCAGTATGTGGGGGCATTCCGCAGGCGATGGTGCACGATGTCTTGGGCATGAGGTTGAACAAGATGCAGGTTGGACGATTGGGAAGATGGCCTTGAAGCATACGGTTCATCCATATCAACCGACATCGGAAATCTGTGCAGGTACCTGTGGAGAGTGATGATGCCTCAGCACCTCCCAAAGCCAGGTGCACCCGTAGATCCTGTTGATGAATCTCCCGAGACGGAAGACGGAGCCTTTTTAGAGAGAGAGAGACACACACTGCGGAAGCATTGCTCTTCTTTGATGGGGCACACAGCTTTGCACTTCATTTCATGTCGTGCAGGTCGTATGATGTGGACGACCAGGACAGCTTTTGGACGGCGCACGCCGGTGACCAGTTTCCAGAGGTTCTCAATGCGGCTCCTCAGCCGCAACAAGGGCAGTGCTTTCGGCGTTCCTGTGTTCTTTTCGTTTGCGTTGAACACTCAGGTGCCCAAAGCCATTGAGGAGACTAGCACAGCAGGTGCTTTGTAATGGTGCGAGGTTGAATTTGTTCCGCCTTGTGCGCCAGGAGTTTGAGAAGAAAAGGGCTGAGATGTCAAGCTCTGGGGAGGACTTGGACGAAGAGAGTAGAGCTGAAATCAGTTGGTCACTGGCTTAACGGCTGAAGCGAGTTGAGTGGCAGGATGGGAGCCAAGCTCTAGCTCCTGGACTTGCAGCAGCCATCAATGCCCTGCCAGAGATGAGTCTTGCTTTGCGGGCTTTACACGGGCCCAGAAATTAGCATAGTTCAAGCGCGTTCAAGTCATTGCAGCGTGAGAGAATGCTCCAGCTGTCGCCATAAGGACAGAGAAGAAGCGAAGCATCGTGTCTTGATGCACTAGTAACAAGAAGCTAGTAGGTTGGAGGCCATCGCTATTAGGTTGGAGGCCATTACTACGAGTAGCAAGAAGCTAGTAGGTTGAAGCACTTGTGGAACATACTTGGGGCACTTTGTCGTTTGTGGCTGGCGGTTGGTCCTGGTGTTTGTGGCGGAAGTTCTTTCCTTCTTGTCAACAAGGGTGGGGTCAAGCTCCTTAGGATATGCACACCAACATTGCCCATGCTCTCGTGGCAGAAGTGAAAGCCCGGGAACTGGACAGGTGCAACACTGAGCTTGGTTGTTTCCGAAGGGGAGATGCAGGACATCAAAAAGACCATGGAGTTCTTTCAGGGCTGCTGCATCATCCTTTCTACTTTCTTGTGAGAGTGAGGTACTACGAGTTGGAGGATCAACTGCCCTCGCAGTCGCTAGGTACCTCTATATCCCAGCTTGATGCTTGGCAGAATGTTTCTTCTGGAGCCTATGACATGAGTGGAGGCCCAAGGCTTAGCGGATTCAAGCAAATGGGTGACAACATCTTTCAGGAACAGCTGCTGAACGGTTCCCAGAAGGGCACCCTAGCGGATAAGCTGAGAGAGACTTGGCAGCAGTGCAGATTGGCCGACAGGAGAGCAAGAAAACAATCGGATTGTCTCAGGATTAGTTTTGTTGGCCTCTTTTGTGGCTGAACTTCAGAGCCCTGTCAAAGTTGATCTTTTTTCATCTCTCTTGTTGGGGGGGGCCTGAAGGCAATCATAGTCTTGGTGTGGGGCTTAGCTTCCTGGAGTTGACAGACGCCGCACCAATTGGTGCATGGTGGAAAAACGCCAAGGTGTTGACCAAGCCGAGCATCTCGCAGCAGCAGCTGCAGGGCCTAGTGGAGGCCTTCGAAAGCACTGGCGGCGATGCCTCTGCAGTGAGGTACTTGTCCGGCTCCCAGACGGGTTGGTCTTGGACTGTTTAGAGCGGCTGTGCGGCTGTGCGCTTTCCAGAGGCAGTACCTGAAGACCATCCGAACCATGGCCATGCCCAGCACCACCTCAACTGTAACGACAGGCTTGGGACTTGGGAGAGACACCGTCTTGGACAATTTGAGCTTGACGACTTTGATGCAACACGCAAGTTTCTCCCGTTGAGTGTTGATTTTGTATACTTGCAGATCCCGAAATCTGTTTACAGGCAGGATAATTTCCGAAACACATGTATAATATATATATATATAATATATATATATATATGATTTTAGAACACAAGCGTTGACAAGGTTTTTCCCCAAATTCGACGACCTTTTGACAACGTTGACGCCGAGACCGTGAAAACCGTGTGACACCGTGTGCTCAGTTGGGACGAGTGGGACGCTGGCGGGAGCTTTCGGCGGTTTAGCCGATCGCTTCATGGCCACGGGCGATGCCTTGTGTCTCGACTGATCGGGTGATGCCGGGTGAGAAACACGTTGGTACCGTAGCGGGGCCACCAAGTACAGCACAGGCTATACACAGGCAGTCTAATTTAGTTTGCTATTGGGGTGGAGGCCATCGCTACTAGGTTGGAGGCCAACACTTCTAGGTTGGAGGCCATTAGAAACAAAGAAGTAGAAAGAAAAGGAAGAAAGGTCGAGTCTAATGTCTTTTTGCAGCCTGTTTGTCAAGGCTGGCTGCTGGAATGAGCGGCATCAAGAGCCTTAGACCAGCATTTGGCTACTTTCTTTGGGGCTGAGCCACTTCGGGCGTAGGGGAACAAGCCCAAGGAACATCGTCGCCTCCAAGAAGGAACTCGCGATTTGCTGCATGGCAGAGTCATTCGTGTCAGTTTGACTTGGCTTTAAGTTTTTTGTCGTGTTTCGTGGCTGTGAGGTCAGATTGTGGAGGCTCTCATGGAGCAAAAGCAGGGTGGAGTCACGGAGAATTATTTATACTTTGACCCAAAGGCCGGCCTTTGGTCCTGAACTGAGTCAACAGATTTTTGCAAACATGATACAAGACCTCATGTCGCGCACACACAGACACACACGCACACACACACACACATATATATATATACATAACTACATAGTATAGATGTTAGGAGGGAGAATTGGGATGTTGCAGTTGGCCAGGCTCCAGCCACGGCACGTGGTGCTGACGTTCCAAGAATCCGGGCACCTTTTAGAAGAGCGATGACATTTGCATCCTCCTAAGAGCGGATGTTCGGAGACAAGGGTTTTTGCCGCTTCACAGTTCGTTTCGCCTGTCTTCCACATTTCACTCAACAGCTTTGCCGATGCTGCTGCTTCACACTGCCTTGCATGCCCCAAAACCAAGGTGGTGGGTGGTGGGAATTATGTGGAGCATCAGAGCTTGCAAGACTGGGCGCAGAATTCCGGTCGGCAGGCCGGCGTTTGAGGCTTTGACAGGTTTTCATGGCGCAGATTCGGCGTTTCCGACCACATGAGGTGACGTATGGCTCCACTGACATGGTCTCACCGGTGCAGTTTGTGGACGAGCTAAGCCACCTGGGCCAAACCCTTGGACAAGGGCACCTTGGAATGATAACAGCTTGAGCTTGCAATGGCCGAGTTTGGTTGGTTTGTGTGAGCTTCAAGCTTGGAAGCCAAGGCAAAGTGGCGGCATGCCAGACCTTAGCTAGGATGACGTCAGTTTTCGCGGAAAATGTGAGCGTCGACAACTTCGGATGGGTTTGACATATGAAAGCATCAGAAAGCATCTCTTGCGTTTGGGTGTCGTGGCCGAAGTTTGTCAGCTGTCAATGCGGCTGAGTGAGGCTGAGAGCGTCAAATCCTTTGGCCTTCAGCATTTGGCGCTTCTTATTTGCAGCGTTCGGGGTCATAGAAATTCAGGCCATCCGGTCCATACCATCACAAGTGCATGGAAAGTGGGAGCCCACATGCATATCTGATGTGTTTCCAACACTAGATGTGTGCATACCGTGCATACATGCATACGACCCTTGACCATGAGATTGGCTCACCTGAGGCCAGTTCTTGAACTCGTTCTGGCCTGGCACAAGGCGAAAGTGTGGCGAAAGCCGTGGTAAGTTTTAACATCAGGTGAAGAACATGTGAAGCGTCAGACGGAACATGCACAATAGCTGGAGATTGAGGCCATGGAGACTTCCATGTTTTGCTCACAGGCTGCCAATGTTGCAGCACGTAGAGTAGGAATCAGTAGGATTGAGGATGATGGTCTTGGCTAGTATTGCTTGTTACTATTTCATTATGTCAGCTAACAAACGGCACATGGGCCAGCCATGAAAATGCAGCTCCCACTTATAGATTTGCTTTCTGCCCATTGCATCAGTCAGTGTTGTCCCTCCAGCTGTTGCCACAGAGGCAGCTGAGACATCACATATGGAGCCATGGTGACACGCCCAAGCTCAGCGCCCCAGCGCCCACGAACAGCTTCCCGACAGCGTGCAATTTTCAGCGAAGTTCTTCTGGTGGAGGCGGCCAATTCGAGTTGTGCAAAAAATACCTTTTCTCGCAGACTGCCTGAAGAGCGAACGAGATGTGAGCGAAAACTGCCAAAGTCCAGCGGGAATTGACCAGGTAAAGCCAGGCACACAGAAACTGGCCGGGCCTTCGCAAGGACGAGACATTCGCAGTACCAGGCAGGGCCAGTGCCGCCATGTTTCGACCACGGCCAAACGGCCAAACTGTGTTCTGTTGCCAGACTTTGGATCGATTCTTGAGTGCTTGCAGACTTGCAGGGAGTCCCGCCCTTTAAGTGCGAATGGCTTCGCCGCGAGAACGCGACATGTGCCCGCCCTGATGCTTTCCAACGCATCAAAATATGCCATCATCGAGCCAAAGGCAGGGAAGTTGGAACGTAGAAGGTGCACTGTTGTTTTCGTTAGATTTCTTTGAATTTACGCACCGACATGAACTCATTGTGCATTGCTGTCTCTGTCAGGTGATGGAGTCTCATCGAAGTGTTGCCGGCAGATGTCCACGCCGGCTTCGCATTGAACGATTAAAAAAGAAGTACGAATCACAAGAGACTCGTTCGGAGAACAACTTGTTTGATGCAGAGCCGACAAAAATCGGAGAAACATCGTAGACTTTGTGAATTTGCTGAGGATATTCAGAGGCTTCTGACAGAAAGAGGTGTCGATGTTACGCTGCCTTGGTATGAGGATAAGAGTCCTTTACCAATCGAGGTGGGAAGCATAGGAGGACATCAGTGTGCTGCCAGCTTTGTTTGAACTTTGTGCATTTGTGGAGTGCGTTTCACCTGTCACATCTAAGCTTCGTTCTGGAGGCGTTTGACAACAAAGATCTCGATTTGCGGACGCCACTTGAGTGGCTTGCCCTGGGAACCAATCCTGACACTGGGCGCTATGAGAAGCCCTTGCCAGTCTTGGCCTTGTGGAGGGATCCTGAGAATGGCGTTGGCCATTGGCGGCGAGCCGTAGTGATGCAATATGATTCGAGAGTTGAGAAGTTTGAAATTCAGTACGAGGACTGGGTACCCTAAACATCAAGGAACCAAATCATCATTAGTGCAAGCGCGAGCTATCCTAGAAGCTTTAGTAGCTAGGAGCGAAACTAATCCCTTCCCTTAATTGAGTAGGCGCCTACTTGGCTTCCTTAAGGGCGAGGATGAAAAGATCAGATTTGCACAGGCACAGAGTTGATTTAGCTTGTTCGGTGCAGGACGCCGAGCCGACAGACGCTGGTGGAAGACGGGGTATGATGGAGTTTTTGCCCCGACTTCGAGTCATGTTCCGTGGGGAAGATCCAGAGGTGGAACGCCTCAACCAGAAAGGAAAACCGCTTTTGTGAATCACAACTTGCTCGCATTATTGAAGCTTTTCTCATCTCACACTCACACTTCCAGCAAGAAGCTACTAGGTGGAGGCCATCGCTTTCTGGTTGGAGGCCATCGCTACTAGTTACTAGTAACAGCCCCCCATTTTCCAGGTCTTCGCCAACAGAGTGGAGGAGGCCTACAAGTCTCGTGCTGCAGCAGATTGCTTGCTCAGATGCTCGGCTGTTTTGTGGAAACGGGGCCCCGTTCTCTTTCGACGGATTTGGGCCTATCGCTTCATTTTCATTTTGTGTCTCCGGGGCGTGAAGGATACAACTTTTACATTGACAACATGCCCACCGACGATGTGCAGCAGCTGAATTGTGACCAGATGGACTGGCTGCGAAAAGCAGTGTCTGGGCTGAGTGAAGTGACCGTCGACGTGGCACACGAGGGTGTAGCACCCGAGGTGAAGACTGGACGGCCTGGCTCCACCGTTGATACAGCGGACTTAGAACTCATTTTGCAGGAAGTTCAGCTTGACTTTGCGCGTGCCATGCGACTTGGAATGGTTGTTGCGGGCACTTTTGCAAGCATCATGCACAAGCAGAGTTTGCAACCTAGCCCACGGCAGCCACTCTGGCCCAGGAATCGAGTCACCTTTGATACTCATATTCTTCAGGCTGGGGGGGGATCGCCGAATTGGATCTCACCAAGATCATACTATTATATATAGTTAATTACTGTAGTAGCTTCTTGTTATTAGTAGCGGTGGCCTCCAACCTACTAGCGATAGCCTCCACCAAGCATAGCGTGCATAGCGTCCGAACGCAGTTTGTTGGCTCCAGGGGAGCGCCGATCCCTGGTATACTCTCCTGTTGCCCTATGTGGAGAAGGGCTTTGTGGCGCAGGCCGTCCAGGGCAAGCCTCCGGCACCTTGGAAGGTCGGGCGAATCCGGTGCGAAACGGCCATCGATACGACCAGTACGGTGCCTCTGGCCTCGTAAAGGTGGCATAAAGACGGTAAAGGTGGGGTTTGTAGATCAATCTGCCAAAAATAGAACGAGCTCGTGACACTTGCGAGAGATTGAACCTTGGAGTTTCAATGAAGTTCACGTCTATTTGTGTGCGCGGCAGCTACTTGTGTTGCAGGGTCGAATCAGTATCCCACGCCATCGCTTCGCAGAGACTTGGCAGATTGATGCCAGCTCATCAAACATGGCTGGCACACGAGCTTGGGGAAAGCTAACCGGAAACGCTTTGCCGCTTCGATGCCGAGGAAACCTTTGCCAAGCTGTGTTTTACCCTGCGGGTGCGGCCGGAAGTGGTTTTCGCCCTGCAGGGGATCAAGGCGCAAAGTGAGCAAGGCTTGAACGAGAACATTTTTGGCATTGATGAGTCCCGCCCTCTACGTCTGGACGAGTTCCGGCAGAACTTGCGCTCCTCATGTGCAGAGGCAGCCTTGGCCCTCAAAGAGGACGGCTGATGTTGGTGTGGGTGGTGCAGGTTTATTCTTCTAAAAAACCACCCCAAAATGCAACATAAGCCATGCAACATATGAAAAGCGCCTGGATGTGATTTGCGTGAATGGAGCCACACGTGCTCGTGGGAAAGTCGCTATATGCCAGGAATACCCGGCCGCGCTGCAGAGCATCGTGCTGCGTGAGTTCGACAACGTGGAGAAAGGTTGGTTCAACGTGCGCGAGAAGAACGTGGACTTGTATCGACATGGGAAGTTGAGACGGTTCCTCCTTTTAGCCCGGCTCATTATGCAGGATTTCCTGCGAAACTTGGCCAAGCACTCGGTTTCAAGGTATGTGACGACCATCGAACGTCTGGCTCCACTAGAGATCATTGCTGATTCATTTGCCAGTGTGAGATCAACTTTTCGGACTTCTTTGCAGACCCCACTGCTTGCAGTTGAAATGAGACCCGTTGAAAGCCACGATGGCGTACGCTTGGATTTTCTGACGGATCCGCAACGATTTGTGCCGACAGCTTTGGATGCTTACAATGCTGGGCTACAGATTTTGAACGAAGTGTATCCGTTAGAGCGATTGATGATACCACCACGTCTTCAATCTTCGGATGGGCCTTCCTTGATAGAGGCCTTCCAGTCGGATGAGGACTGGGTCGAAGATGGCTATCGACGTATCCATGCAGCCATGGAGGCTGGCTGCGCTGGCCCAGCCAAATACCTGGCAACGCTGCAGTCTTGGGAGCCGCTCTTGAATCGGAACCCGAACTCCTTTGTGGATCATTTCTTTCGAGATCGAACGGGTGAGCCAGAGCCGAGCGATCAAGAGATCCAGAGTGCCATCTCTGAGGTTCCTCTCATGAGCTTCGAATTTTGTGGTTTGCATTTAGGTGTTCTTTAGTCGCCTAGCCCTAATTATCCCTCTGCCCGGTGGCATGAGGAAGCTGTATGCTCTTTAGTCTCTTCGACGACCCAAGTGCGTAGGAGATGAGATTGCGGCGGGAGCTGTGGAAGTTGCCGGAGACCATAGATGTCGGAATGTTTGAGGTCACGACCAAGGACTTCCAGCCGTTGCTAGTTGCTTCCTGACTGACCCATCGGCCCATCACACATGTTTTCTTTCGCTTGGATGAGTTGGACACGACATGCGCTGCATGTGCAGTTCGTTCCATGAAGTGCTTGCACAGCCAGCATGTCGCCTTACTGGAACGCCTCTGTAGCAACCATTTTTTGGTGCAGTTCTGCGGCCAGTGTTGCAGGATGTGCGTAAAGCCTTAGCCGCGAAACATGAGATTACGCACCTCTTGCTGATGGAGCGCCGCTTGGCACGTCTGCTTTAGGTTAGCGCGCTGAGAGCTGGTTGCGAGCCGGTCTGCGCGTCCCGAGGTCTGGTGAGGCGACTCCGGACACAGATGGATGACACCATCTGTGACGTTCGAAGCTCCTAGCCCGAGGGTGATTGGTGCGAGTGTGGGCGATGCAACAGGTCATAAGGTCTGTTCTGAGGTGGCACTGCATGTTTGGTGTCCTGGTAGTTCACTTTTTGGGGTGTTGGGGGCGTGGGAGATTGCAGAAGATTGGTTGATCTTCACATTTCAACTGGATACGTTGAGGTAGGTTAACAAAGAAATCCTTTTGTCAGTCACATGTCCCAACTTATATTGGATGCTGCAGACATCGTCAGAGTTTTCAAATTCCTTCCACTTGGCTTGGAAGAGTTTGTTGGATCAGTTTAAAACCCTTTGTGTTTGCGCTTTCAAGTGATCCATCCCGGTTCTTGTTGCATGTTGCGGAGGAAAGCATAGTTTTGTTTTTTTTTGCATGATTGCTATGCACCAACATGAATCAACGACTTCAAGGGATGAAGACCTGATGCCCCGTTGACTCTGGTGTATATCTTTGAAGAGTTAACCACGAGGGTATGGTGTTTTGGTGTTATCCATGGTGTTTGCATTCTCTCTTTGTCTTCTTCTCCAGGTTTGCTGTCGATGATCACCAAGACACCAAAGACTGTGCTGGAGCTGGTGGAGATGCGGAAATCCCTTTCGCAGCTTCCGGAGCGCATCAGCCAGATCAAACAAAGGACATGGGTTGGACTTTTGGGGCAAACAGGGCGAACCTTGACAAGTTGCCGGGATTAGAGTGTTGATGCCTGATGTGCAAGAACTCCACTGTCAAAAGGTGCACTGGGGAAACAACAACGCATACTCACGAGCAAGATGGTGGCAGACTACCGCATGATTTCGTCAACAAACTGTCTACTTTGGAAGGATTACTGCGCACTTGCAGCTGTATGATGAGATCGAGAGAGCCTTGCCAGCTACAAAGTGGGAGCGAGGATTTTGATATCCAGCCCAGGACGCGTTGAGACACACTTGAGAAGAGTGCCCCGTAGAGGGTAGTTTCAGAAATTCGCAGTGAACATTAGCTCTTTACCTTACTGCATTAGCCGAACTACGTGCAGGAAAACAACGCAGGAGACAGCGTTATGCAATACTTAGATTCACAAAGATTGAATTCGCAGTGAACATTGGCCCTTTAGCTTACTGTGTTAGCCGAATAACGTCCAGTTAGGTTCACAAAGATGGATTAAAATGCAGGTACACACAGTTGATCAGACTGTGCATCCAACGATCAAGCATAGCTTTGTTAGCCAGCGTTTGCTTGTCGGCCGCTGGCCCCCTGCATCTGTACAAATAGAGTAAAGTAGGTTAGTGTCCCTTGGAACGGGGGCTGACGCACACACACACACAATGAGCCGTGTCGGCGCAGCTAGTAAGACTCTGGATGGCCGCAACGCTGCAGCACAAAGTGTGCTTGACCTGCCTCTTTGCTCTTTTTCTTTTCTTTTTTTCTTTTTCCTTTTTTTCCTTTTCTTTTTTCTTTTTCTTGCCAGGGGTGTGGAGGGGTGTTCGGAGTGCATTGACTAAACGAGCCTGGATGCCACCTAACAAGCCTGAAGAAAAGAACGAGACAAACAAAAAAGCAAGGAAAGAAGAGAAAGGTGCAGGGGGGGGGGGGGGGGGGGGCAGGGCGTGCGTTGACTAAACGAGTCTGGATCACACCTAACAAGCCTGAAGGAAAGAACAAGACAAACGAAAAGGCAAGGAAAAACAAGAAAAGGTGCAGGGGGTGCGGGGTGGGGTGGATGCTTTTACGAGCGAACGGCACGGGCCCGTAGGCACTGGCCGAGAAGCCGAAATCGGCGCTAAAGTTAAAAGTTGGAACGTCTCCTGGGGTGAAATCGTATTCTGATGGGACGTACAGTGGACTCTGCAGTAAAGCTTCACGTGTGCCGGGTGAAACGTTTCAGACAATCTGACTTCGAGTAGGAAAATTCGATCATGAAATTTGTAGAGCACTCGGGTATTGTACTCCTGGGATGAGGAGAAGAATTGTGTTGTGTTTTTGGGCTTGTTCTTCTAGGTTCTAAAATATTTGAAAAAAACAATAAAAAAGCAAAAACAACCCAAAACAAAAATGCAAAGAAGACACGCACTGCCTAACAAAATGCAAAAAAAATGCAACCCTAAGTGCAAGCTCTCTGAGGTGACAACCACTTACCAGCAGAAGAATTGGCTGTTCAATCTCAACCCACTGGGATGAAAAGAGCCCAAGCAATCCCAAACGTGATTTGGTAACACTAGTTGAACGGTAGAAAATTTTATTATGCGCTCGCTAGAATGGATGCCCCTACTAGCCGCCGAGCCGTCTATATGGAGTGTAGGACCTAGGAGTTTATGATGGCCGCGCTAGGAAGACCTCAACCCTATAGACTGCAGACTTCGAGACCCCAGGTAGGCCTAGGGCCTCTAGTCCACAAAGATGGAGGAAGGAAAGCCGAAAGCCAGCACTTTATTTCGCGTTTTTTTTGCACTTCAATTTTGGCAGGTCTACCCCCCCACACTTTCGGCGCATTGTTTTTGCACTTTTTTTTTTTTTTCG